AAAAAAAAAAAAAAAAAAAAAATAATAATAATAATAATAATAATAATAATAATACAGCTACCCATTAAGAGACAGCCTGCCACATTGTGACCTGCACTGAGTCCCCTTCTCCTGGGCTTTCTGAATGGCAACAGCAGTAAAAAGGACAAATGTGGTTGGTGTTCAGATACCACCCATCTGCTGCAACACAATGGGGTTCGGGAGGGGAATAAGCAAAGCGCCCCAAAAGAACAGCTCTCCTCATCTCCCTCGGCTCAGCGCATCCTAATTAACTCTGCTTTGTGTCTGTTATGAATAGCCTCACATGGAAAGGCTCCAACTGCACACTCTTCATTATGCACAGCTTATTAAAATTGAAATTCACTGTTTCAATGCAGCCAAATTAGTGGCTCAAACTGCCATGCTCTATTAAGAACAAGGCATTCATTTTACAAGACGGAATCAGGATAGACGAGCCTAGATCAAAGCTGAAGCAGGCTGGAAACTGTAGGCCCTGAGTTCTAAGGCTGGCGTGTTCAAGTCACTTTCTTTCTGTATGGCAGAGCCTTGACTGTCAGCTCATGATGATGGCACCACACTTCCCTGAGCCAGGAGGCAAAGGATGACCATGGCTTCCAGAGAGACCACTGGGGTGGGAATGTTAACCTTTTCCAGATAAAGAGCCGGTGCTCTGGCTCTAAGAGTACAAGTCCAGGCGGCCTGGACTGGAGCTGGGCCCATGTGCCAGCCCCTCGTTCCATACCTGCTCCTCCTCAATCCTGCGCTGCAGCGTCTCGATGTAATGCTGGACAGCCATGTAGATGAACCTGTACTGTGCTTCTGTCTGGACCATCCCTGACCTCTGGGACCGAACCATCTGAATGGTTTTAGGAACATCGATGTCGCAGTCCACACCTGCAAAGCAAAGATCCTGACGCTGCAGGAGTGCTGAGGCCAGGCTGAGGCCAGGCTGAGCTGCTGGGCACCCACTCTCCACAGCAGGAAGGGGCACAGAGCTGGTCTTTCCCACACCACGAGTCATGGGGGATGCCCAGGACTCCTGAGCCAATGCTCAGGACAATGCCAGGAGCTGCTAGGACAAAGTGCCACCCCACCCCAGAGGCAGGGAATGAGTGGCTGGGGGCCTCATGACGCGGATAACAGAAGGCACGATGATGGGGCCAGAACTTAGGACACAGCTGACAGAAACAGCCGAACAGGAGAACTCGCTGGGAGTGAATCTCATCATATTTAAATGACCATCTCCTTCTCCTGTGAATTCTCTCTCCCAGGCTATTTTCCCTGGCACTCTCCTTTCACAAACTAGAACAGGAACTGTGGCTTCTTGTCCTCCAGATGACCTACCTTTCTCTCTAATGATGTCAATAAGGATATCAATCACGATGAATGTTCCTGTCCGGCCGATTCCAGCACTGTGGGGAGAAGAATAAATAGCAGGGATGCTGGAGTCACTGTGGGGGTTTCACACTAAGAACCAAGCTATTAAAGTCTGCAGGCTCTGCTCTGTGGGTCTAGAAGATGCTGGTCACAGCTACACACCAACCCCTCCCCGCCCCATCCCTAAGGTGTCAGATCCCTCTCTTCCTGATATGGGTCTGTAGGGTATCCTTGCTTCCTCAGCTGTGGAATGGGGGGATGACAATATCTCTTGGGGGCTTGCCATGAGGTTCACACTGCTGAGCCACACATGACATCTTTACATCTTTTCTCTACTCCCAACTTTTACTTGAAAACAGTTGGACATATTATGGCTCTTCTGAGCAGAGAAACTTGCCCACAGACTCGTGGCTTCCTGTCTTAAAAGGCCACAGCAGACATTCAAAGGAAGAAATGTGTGTTCCTTTCTTTCTTAAATAGCCATCTAGCTGCAAAACCTACATTAATGGTGGTTTAAAAACAAAACAACAACAAAAAAGAACTGAACAGGCCAGCACTTGGGAGGCAGAGGCAGGGGAGTCACTGCAAGTCCAAGGCCAACCTGACCTACATAGTGAGATCCTATCACAAAATAACAATCACAAAAACAAACCACTGAATAATGAAAGCTTCACTCATTTCTAGATTGGTTCAACGTGTGAATGAGAGTTTAGGAAACCTAATCAGGAAGCCCACACCCTCTGCATGGTGACCCTGGAGCAGCCTCCACTGAGTCCCACAGGGGAAGTGACTGGGTGCTGGGCAAGCAGAGTGCTGGGAAGGGTGGGTCACATCTCCAAAGAGAACAGAGCCCCACAGCCGAGTTTAAAGAAAGCGAGCTGGGTTGTCACCTGCAGTGAACCACGACAGGGCCTGCATCCACGATGCTCTCCTGCTTGTGGTGCACCTCCTCCAGGAAGTCCAGCACACCTCCAGGGTCGCTGGGCACGCCATGGTCCGGCCAGGTCCGAAAGTGGTACTGCCAGACGGTTCTCTCTGTATTTCCCTGGAGTAGAGCCAAGAAAAGCCAGAACAGAATTAAATAAATCAAGGGTTGAGGAATCATGGCCTCTAAACTTTCCTAGCACCTTCTAGAATGGAAAGCCCAGAATCTCTGGCTCCAAGGAGCACTCGAGAGCTAATGGGCCAGCCTGGAGGCAGCGTCTGCCTATCAGGTGATCTAAGACATCCAGCATGGCAATTTGTTCTCTGGCTAACCGTAGCCAAAACGCAGCTCTGAGTCACCAGAACAGACCATGTTCCCCTCCTTCCTCAGTCAGGTGGCACTCAACTCCAGAATCGGCTGAGGTCCCTGAGGATGGCAGCCTGGCAAACTCTGGCTCCTCTCAAGCATTTGCTCCACTGTCCTCTCGTATCATATCGTCGCCCTTGGTGGCTCACACAGGCACTCACGCCCATGACAGCACTGTCCCAGCTGGAGATGGGCTCTGTGAATGTGATGGTGAGACCTGGGCTCAAATCCCAGGCGGCCCCTTACTGGAGAGTCACCCCTTACTGGAGAGTCACCGTTGCATAACTCAAACCCCCAAATCCACTCGCAAAGAAATCTCTCCCACCGAGGGATTAAAGGAGCTGAACAAAGCTTCTCCCAGCAAGCAGGAAGTAACTGGGGACTGAGGACATCCTGGCTCTTCTGAGTGACAATGGCCAGGGACCAACAGAGGCACCAGGACCATGGGACCACAGAAAAAGGAAAGGAAGAAGAGAGGGAGGGAGGGACAGAGGAAGGGAAAGACAGAAGGACAGAGGAAGGAAGGCTACAATAGCGACCAACACTGGTGAATTTTCTCGCACCCAGGACTCTTGCTGTGATTAAAAACTCTCTTGTGTGCTGCACGCATTTAATTTGCCGATGTCATGGAAAACTATCCTTGTCGTTACAAAGTGACCTGAAACTCAGATAGCTCTGTGGGTCACAGACAGGCCAGCAAGAGAAACGGAGCATGCACAGCCTCACTGTGTAGCAACACCCCTTCTAGGCCAGGGCATTTCTGTACATCAGTGCTGTACAAGCAGGTGATCTGTCATCATCAAGGCAGGAGCCGGGGGGCCATGTCAACTCCCATGTCAGCACACGTGTGCCAACATCTCCCAGATCTCCCTCTCCAAACCTCCTGGTAAGCAGGAGGGAACAAGACCTGCGGCATTGTCTCAGTACCCAGAGACAAGTCACACAGCAGTCACACCTTTCAAAGGAGAGGGGGAGGGGAGTGGGTAAGACAAATGACTTCTCACTAGCACCAAGGGAGAGAGACCGCCTGCTGCTAAGAAACCCTCACCAGCCTGGCAGTTCATCACGAAACCTCACAAGAGGGCTGGCAAGGCAGCTCAGTGGCCGAAGGCACCTGCCACCAAACCTGACAACCCAAGTTCAAGCTTCAGAATCCTCGAGGTAGATAGAAGAGCACCAACCCCTCACAGCTGTCCTCCGACCTCCACAGGTGTGCCATGAGGAACACACCTCCTGTAGCATGTACACACCATGCACACACCCTTCAGAGAGCACATGAAACAGATCCCTTTCTGCTCATCAGCAGCCCTAGGCTCTGTTCCTCTCGCCCTCCCAGCACCACAGGGCAAACAGCCCACCCACAATGCACTGGGTCACTGCCCTCTGCCCAGCTTCCCTGACACCTGCACTTCCATGGCTCAAAGGCACTTCCATAGGATCCCTGCTGCTCCTCCTGCGGCCCACCCTGCACGCCTGTGGGTCATCCTATGCTCACCACCTAACCCACCATTGTCCTCTACAAGGACCCCAAGCCAGCCCTCTGCTGTCCAGCCCCCCTGCAGCACCCCAGCCAAGCCCCATGATCTCACTACCCTAGGCAGCAGCCTCCAACTGGTCCTAAGCTCCACCGCAATGGCCTCAGCCCCTCCAGCTCGACAGGGCAGAGGGTAAGTGCCAGCTCCGGCTGCCCACATCACTAGGGTAAATACCAACTCTTTCCTGGCCCATCGCACCACACTGTGTTCTTTGACTTGGCCCTACCTGCACTCTATAGTGACATATTGGGGCACAGGATTCCTGGCTCGAAGTATTCTAGACAGTGGAGTGTAACTTGAGGGAGGGGACAATACCCGTGTTACTCCCCAGCTGTCTCCAGCAAGCAGCACAGTGCTAGGACAAATGGATGACTCATAACTGTCCAGACACCTGATGGACACGCCTACTCAAAGGCTCAGCTCGGTGCATCCGGAAGGAAGCGGATGTCCACACAGCAGCTCTGCTTCTGGCTTTTCTCACGGTTGACACAACACTACTGTCCAGTCAGACTCAAAGTTCTAAGACACCTTTGGTCTCTCTTTCCCTTCAATAGCCAAACTGTCCCGATGCCCTGCAGATGCCTTCCCAGGGGCCTGACACTGCTTCTCTGCCAGTCCGTTCCCAACGAAAGGCATAAGCAGAGCAGGAAAACCCACTGCAGGAGACATGGAGAGCTGGCCAAAGGCCTAGACTAACACAAAATTTGTCTCCTAGTAGGCCTCCTGGCCAGTAGTCACATCCCCCCTGTCCTGATCCAATGGCTGCAGAGACCTCCCCACACTCAGCTTTCCACCTGTTCACTGGGCCCAAGAACTGAGACGAGCTCCATGTGGTGAGTAAAGCTCAAAGCTCTTAACAGAGAATCTTCAAACCACACGGTAGAAGGAGAAGCAATCCCCACCCTTGTCCTCTAACCTCTATGCTCGTGCATGCACATGTAAAAATAATACACTTGAATACGCAGGAGCCAGGTATTGTGGGGCACATCTTTAATTTCAGCACACAGGAAGACAGAGGCGGGTGGATTTCTGTGAGTTCGAGAGGAGCCTGGTCTATATTGCAAGTTCCAGGCCAGCCAGGGCTACATAGTGAGACCCTGTCTCAAAATAAGTAAATAAACAAAATAAAATAAAATAAAAATACTCAGCCAGTCTGGTGGCACACACCTTTAATCCCAGCACTAGGGAGGCAGAGGCAGGAGGATCTCTGTGACTTTGAGGTTAACCTGTCTCTGTAGCCAGTTCTAGGCCATCCAGGGATACAGAGTGAGACCCTGTCTCAAAAATGATAATAATGAACATAAATAAGCTAAACTAATTATTTTTTTAAAATAATTCTTCCCAATGTGGCCTACCCCAAGAGTATGTCCTCAACACCCTCCCCCTCCTCTCCCGCCCTCTATCCCATTTTCCTGCAGTCAGGACTTCAGTATGTGGCCCAAGGAACACTTGTGCCCAGAAGGCACACTCAGAGAGGGGCCCACCCCCACTCCAGCTGGGGAAGCCACACTGAGCACATCTGCCTGAAGCAGGGCTATCTGTGTGCAGGGCTTCTCCTTGTGCTTAGATGGAATCCACGAGGGCGAGAGTGGTTTCCTCCGTCTTGGAGTCCCCAAAGACATCAAATTAAGCCCTTCTAAATACGAAATAAAAATGACTCCAAACCAAATCCTGTTTTGTCTTGGAGCCAGCCACTCCACAAGCAATCCTGAGCCACAAGCCATGACAAACAGCGGACAAAAGCAGGTGGTGGTCACACACACCTTCAATCCCAGCACTCAGGAGGCAGAGACAGGCGGATCTTTATGAGTTCGAGGCCAGCCTGGGCTACAGAGTGAGTTTCTGGATAGCTGGAGCTACACGGAGAAACCCTGTCTGGAGAATAAACAGAAAGCTGCCACACTGACCGTGATCACAGACAGGCGCTCCTGCTCCCTCTGCTTTCACGCGTGGCTCCTCCACTCGACATCTCAGCAAGTGTCACCCTCAGGGACCCTCCCCTACCCACCCTGTCTCATGTACCAGCCACTTTTTTTTTTCCAAATAAGGTTTCTCTGTGTAGCCCTGGCTGTCCTGGAACTCACTCTGTAGATCAGGCTGGCCTCGAACTCAGAGAGACCCACTTGCTTCTGCCTCCCGAGTGTTGGGATTAAAGGTGCGCGCCACCACCACCTGGCTTACCAGTCACTCTAGAACACATCACAGGAGCTGAAGGCCAGCGGCTGGTAGTCACATTCACCTACATCTCTCCAGGCTCCGTGAGGGCAGGACCTGGGCCTGTCTTGCTCACTAGGCATAGCAGTGTTGAACTGGGCCCAGCACCTATGAGGCACCCACTACGGCTATCCAATCAGTGAGTGACAGGACACAGGTCAAAGGATGAGTGCGGGCAGGGGCGCCACAAATGACTGTGAGCCACAGAAAGCCACAGTCTCTAGAATACGACAATATACTTACTTGTCCGACCTTGGAGAGCTTGAGTTCTCTTAAGGTATAGTCATGAGCAGCACTTTCTTTGACGTTCCTAACACGCATGACCCCATATTCTTTGAGCGCATACTCATCAGGCCAGTACTTGACGCACTTGCTCTGGAAGGGACCAGTGGAGAGCCTGTTAATGTCCAAACCCTGAACGAAGCCCAAACAGCAGGGTCCAGTCCTGCTCCGGACACCAGCAAGGAGAGGAGCCTACCTCCTCCTTTAGGTTGCCAAGAACAGAAAGGAGGAATTCAAGTAAGCAAAGCAGGCCAAAGGGGAGGAGGAGAGCAGATGCGGCACATCAGCCTGATCCCCCACCCCCCGCCCTCTCCCCTCCCCGCCAAAGCAGAGTCAACACCTGCTTATTCAGCTCAGGGGATGAAAGAAGCCAAGTGGGAGGAACCAGCCAAAGAAGACTGTCCCCTGGCAAGCAGAATTTCCAACCCCAGCACTGACCAGTCATTCTGAGGGGAAGCCAGGCTGCTGACACTGTCCCATCACTGATTTCTCTATATCCGGACTCATCTTACACCAACCACACACACACCAGCTTCCCAGAACTGAGAACACAGACTGCAATAGCCGCTGACTTCAAGAACAGGTGGGACAAGCACACTCCATTATTACTTCCGGCACTTGGGAGGCAGAGCCAGGTGGGTCTCTGTGAGCCTGGGGCCAATCTGGTCTACACAGCAAGTTCCAGGCCAACTAGAACTGCATAGAGGGACCCTGAACCAATGGACTGAAAGCTGAGTGTGCACACTTGCAGCCCCAGAAGGCAGAGACAGGAGAATACTTCATCTTGAAGGCCAGCCTGGTCTACATAGCAAACACCAGCCCAATGAGAACTATATAGCAAGACCCAGTCTCAAAACAAACAAACAGCCAAGAACAACAAAAACAGCAGGCAGCTGAGAAAGGTAACAATGATGTAAAGGAAAGAGGTCTTGTCCAGCTGAGGGATGAGCTTGCATCTACCAGGTGATAAGGCTGAGGCAGAGCATCTTCCGTTTCTCTCTTCCTGGCAGCAGTCACCCACGACACTCACTTTCTAAAACCACCAACAACAACAACATCGGCAAGAGAAATCTGCACCGAGGACTAAGAACACCGGGCAGCTGCAGGTGATGAGAAACAGGAGCACAGCCAGCTACAGTACTCAGTGATTAATGCGGAGAGGACCCCGAGGCAGGAGAGGCTGATGGAATGGTGTGGTCTCCTATTCTGAATCCAACTGTGCATCTGTGTTTGACAGGTCTGATAGGATTCTATCATCCCCGATGGAATGGTGCTGGTTTCTGGACAATCAATTCAGAGGACTGTACTAGTCACTGCAGAGAACACAAAGTCATCATGACTTGAAGATGAACATTTTAGCTGACTCTCAACACTTGCAAGCTGCTGCCCTCTACCCAGTTTTCCCAGTACTGCAGAGGAGCTGTGCAGGGGAGGTGTCCCGGTCTGGCTTTCTGTCTGTGCAGTGGGAACACAGGCTGTGCACACTCCCAGGGGAATGGAAGACTGGGTCAAGGATGTGAGGACTAGAGCAGAGCACCGGGCCCATCTCTGCCCGATCTGTCTGCTCTGGAGTTTCCAAGCGCACGTCTAATAGGCTGACCTGACTCCTTGGCTACAGGCCTAAGGTGACCTCTCACACCTCCACAGAGCAGGAGCCAGGACCGGGAGAAGCTGTAACTGCCCAGGAACTCAGGACACCTGACATCACTGCTGAAAGCACGCGGAAGCGCGCCACCCAGAACCCTGCACAGTCCTGTGCTCCTCAGCTGCCAGGCTCAACTCCCAAGAGCCCATCTGTCTCGGGTGAGCTTCTACACGGGATTGTAAAATTGTACACAATCTTTATATAAACCAATAAAGGATATCCAAACAAAAACTCTAGCCACAACACAAATAAAAACCAAGACACTTCCATATTAAAAACCTATAAATTGATTTCACTTTGAGATGATGCAAAGATAGCACATTCTTTCAAGGAGATGCCTGCTGCTTTCCTGGAGGTGTGGCACACTGAGTTCTAGGAACCCACAGCATCCTAAGAACATGGGGAGCTCAGCTCAAGGCTATGAGGCTGGGGAGTGGGGTGGGGTATGACAGTTCTAGAGGGTGGCTAGGTGGCTGATGCAAAGTAACACATATACACAGAGGCCCAACAACTCTTGACATCTAATCCAGACAAACATAGGCCACAGTCTGCGAAGAAATGAAGGAAAAGAACAAGACTGTTCAGCTGAGCAAAACCACACTACAGCAGCGAGAGGATCGGTTCGTCCATAGCACAAAACACAGGCTACAGGCCAAATGTGTGCTAACAGTGGAAGATACTACCCATCCAATCAAGCACCACCAAGAAGCAAAAGGGAGCTACTGTGGGAAGGCGCAGCTCAGGTGGAGCCCAGCGCAGAAGAACCACACATCCAAATACGTCAGGAACATTTTATCAGGCGCTGGGGACAATGGGCGCACACTGGCTGGGCACACACAGAGCAAAGGGCTGAGTGGGGGGTGGGGGGGGCAGGGGGTGGTGTCAGAAAAGATGACGGTGCATACCTTCCCTCTCTCCACCTCCTTTGTGGTCATGACAATGACCCGAGAGTTCTCCTGGAACACCATCCTCCAGAAATCATTCACCGTGTTCTGCAGGCAGCCCTGAGTGGCAATGTAACTCTTTTTGGGCTTCGAATTGTTGCACTTGGTTTCAAATTCAGGCTAGAAATTAGGAAGAAAAGCCTCAAACATTTGAAAGACGGTGTCACGGGCACAAAGACACACACTAGTGACATATGACAGAAATCACAGTGCGAATCAAGCTTACCATGATGATGTTTGCGTTGATGTAATCAGAAACAGGCTCATTGGGATCCCCATCGTGCAGGACGACCCTGGTGTGATCAACTGAGGAGAAAAAGATGACAGTCAGTCAGCCCAGAGCTCCAGTACCAGCCAGGCAGCCTCCAGCCAGCCAGTCTAACGGAAGTCCTTCACAAGATCAAATGGAATGGGACAAGGCATGCCAGGGCACTTTCTCAGAACTCCCTATCTCTATGATGCTGTGGGCGCAGGTGGGGTACAGGATTCACCACGGAGAGGCAGGCATAGGGTGCTGAGAACCTTCTACTTCATTGCTGGAACTTCTTAGGAGTCTAAAAGATTTCGGTGCCTGTTTGTTTTCTCCTTGTTTGGGTTTGGTAGTAATGGTGGGGATTGAACCCAGGGCCTGGAGCATGCCAGGCAAACACTGTGCCACTGAGCTATATCCCCAGCTGGTTTTCATTTTTAAAAAGAAGATTAAAGTACCAACAATGATGTCTAAGATCTTCAAGGTCATCTAGGGAAAGAGAAGTGGATCAGAGCAGAGACAGAACAAGGCTGCACCCAAGCTGGCTGCTGCTGAAGCCAGTCAAGAGGTAAGCTCAGCTTCTGTTCATTAATCTATTTCAAGTGCTCCATAATAAAAGGTAAAGAGGCAGAGTGCAATACAGTATCTGTAAGACGAGATTCATGTAGTATCAGTTGTCCTCATCTGTACAAAAATACACTACTGGTATAAAAATCTGAGTGCTCTATAAAAAACATATTTTACAATAGGAATTAGCAACAGGGCTCATAGGATGCTGCAGGCCTGGAATCTCAGCTACTCAGAAGGATGAAACAGGAGAATCACAAGTTCAAAGCCTGCCTGGGCAACTTAGAGAAACTGACTCAAAACAAAAAGTTTAAGAAAGGGCTGGTGTAGCAAGGCCCTAGGTTCAATAATCAACATTTAAAAAAAAAAAAAAAGGCTCAGTGGAAACATCTGATTGGATCATTAATTAATACAGCAGCAGGCAGGGCATTTGAGAAATTGTAAGCAACTGCTTCCTTCAGCTTTTCCTATAGCTGCCCTTTACAGTGAGAAGCAGCAGAGCTGAGAGGAGAAAACTTAGAAACAAAACGAGGCTCCTCAAGGCCACCAGGACCCCGCTACAGCGCCACGCAGCTCTCCGCAAACTCCTGTTTGCTTTTCCCATGAGAGCAATGCCTCCTCCCACCCCATCCTCACCTCCAGTCAGATAGCCGTGTGGAACACACACACACACACACACACACACACACACACACACACAGCTTATAAGAACCCATGAGCTGGGTGGTGGTAGTGCACGCCTTTAATCCCAGCACTCGGGAGGCAGAGCCAGGCAGATCTCTGTGAGTTGGAGGCCAGCCTGGGCTACAGAGCGAGATCCAGGAAAGGCGCAAAGCTACACAGAGAAACCACACACAAAAAAAAAGAAAAAAGAAAAAAAAAATTATGAGGCAGCTTTGATCAGGTGAACTGTGAAGGCAATGCTTTCCAATTCTGCTCCAGTAGTCCAGCAGAAACCCTCCACACCCAGAGGCACACATCTACAGAAAGCTGTGTAGATGGTGTGTAGACACACCATCAATTTTTGCATCAGATTCAGCTTTCTTTTCTCTTCTTTTAGATAAAGGATGTATTTATACTGACATTCTAAATGTTCCCTTTCCCCCATGAAAGCCTGCACAGACCACCCTGCAGATCTTGCATCATCAAAAGATGCCAAGAACACTGCTTTGGGGCCTGAGTGACTGCTTCGCCCACTGATGACGACGACGACGACCTTGCTAAATGAGTTCGTGAGATGAGGAAAATAAGAATGCTTCCTTTCATCACACAGACATGCAGGCAAAACACACATGCACATAAAACAAGATGGGGGGAGAAAAGAACATCTGCTGCTTTAGCCGGCCCTTCGGGTGCACGTCCGTGGTCCCAGATATTTAAGAGGTAGAGGTAGGAGCATAGCAAATTCAAGATCTGCCTGAGCTACTGAGTAAGTTCAAGACCAGCCTAGGCAAACTAGTGAGACCCTCTCTCAAAATAAAAGGAAAAAAGAGGTCTAGGTGTTTAAATTCAGTCTCTATGTTCTTGCCATTCAAGCATGAAGCCCCGAGTTTGATCCTCGGAACCCACTTTTAAAAGCTGAGCATTGTCAGCACTTGGGAGGCAGAGGCAGGCGGATCGTGGACTTCCAGGCCAGCCTGCTCTACAGAGTGAGTTCTAGGACAGCCAGGACTACACAGAGAGACCCTGTTTTAGAAAAAAAAAAAAAAAAAAAAAAAAAAAAACAATAAAATAAACAACAACAACAAAAAGCTGGGCATTAACAGCATATGCCTCTAAGCCCAGCCTAGCAAAGTACAGACAGGCAGATCCCAGGGCCCTCTGATGAGCAACCCTAGCCTAATAGTGGAGAGCTCCTGGTCAATGAGAGACTGTCTCAAAAGGAAAGAAGATGGCACCCAAGGACCAACACCCAAGGTCATCCTCTAACTCCACACGCATGCACATATACCCAATGCAAGTATAACCGAACACAGAGGTATACACACACACACACACACACACACACACACACGAATGATGTACAAAGAGGGCTGGGGTTGGACTCCACATGTATGCACATGAACACAACGGTACACACACGCACACACAGAGGAATAAATATACAAAGAGGGATGGAGATGTAGCGCATTGGCAGTGTGGAAGGCCTGGGGTTTAATCCCCAGCACTCCAAAACAAAACAAAACACCCTGCTCTGTGTCCACATAAGTTACAGATCAGGTCACATCAAGATGTACAACAGGCCGGGCGGTGGTGGCGCACGCCTTTAATCCCAGCACTCGGGAGGCAGAGCCAGGCGGATTTCTGTGAGTTCGAGGCCAGCCTGAACTACCAAGTGAGTTCCAGGAAAAGGTGCAAAGCTACACAGAGAAACCCTGTCTCGAAACCGCCCCCCCCGCCCAAAAAAAAAAAAAAAAAAAAAAGATGTGCAACAGCAGAGTCACCCCCACGGGGAGAGGAGTTCCAAGCTGTGTAGTGATGGGCTCCTCACTGAGGGCCTCTGCTCTCTGCCAGTGGGTGTATACTACAGGGGGCCCAGCTTGGTGGTACTCACAAGATCCCTTATCTGCAGAAGCTGAGCCAGCAGAAGGCGCAGAGGAGCGGCACCTACCCCTCTACCTCACAGACACAACTCTCAGACCTGAGGCACGTGCCTTAGTCTCACAGAGTTTCCCGCCCCCCGCCCCCCAGCCTTGAGGTTGTTACATGGAGGTAGAGCAGGAACTAATGAACAAGAGGTGAGTGCAGAGGGCCTCTCCTCCTACAGCTTTACTGGCATCGGGAGGACATCCATCCCCACTAGGGCTGGTTATCTGTTAGCCAGCGTGTGACCCCAGGCAGAGACTGCTACTGAGGCAGGGCACTGATACTCACAGGGCAGGATGTTTTTGTATCTGTTTTTGTTTTTATTTTCTTGTCTCTGTCCTTCTTTTCGGCTGTAGAGAAGTTTGCATTCTTGTTGCTGCAGCGTCTAGAAGCAAAGAAAAGTAAATATGTATCAAATGTATCCAAAGACCGGGGTGAGTGCACGGAAAAGTAACTGTGTATCCAATGTATCCAAAGACGGGGGTGAGTGCACGGAAAAGTAACTGTGTATCCAATGTATCCAAAGACCGGGGTGAGTGCAAGGAAAAGTAACTGTGTATCCAATGTATCCAAAGACGGGGTGAGACGGCTCAGTGGGTAGGAGCACCTGCACACATCTGTCGACCTGAGTTCATCCCCAGGATCACACCGTGGAAAAAAAAGAACTTCTGAAAGTTGTCCTCTGACCTCCACACACAGTGTGGCATGAGCCATCCATGCATCTGCACGCGCACACACACACACACACGTAAATCAACAAATGTAAAAAATAAACATAAATATAAAAAGCACTCCCTTAAAAAAGAAAAGGAAGCCGGACAGTGGTGGCGCACGCCTTTAATCCCAGCACTCGGGAGGCAGAGCCAGCAGATCTCTGTGAGTTCAAGGCCAGCCTGGGCTACCAAGTGAGTTCCAAGAAAGGCTCAAAGCTACACAGAGAAACCCTATCTCGAAAAAGAAAAAGAAAAAGAAAAAGAAAAAGAAAAAGAAAAAGAAAAAGAAAAGGAGAAAATGGGAAAGAGGGGAAAGGAGGAGAGGGGGAGGGAGGGGGAGGGGAGGGAGAGGAAGGAAAGAGGGGGAGGAAGGAAAGAGGGAGGGGAGAAAAAGAAAAAGAGGAAAGAAGTAAGGCGGCCTGGCCTGTGTTCTGCTTTAAGGGTTCAGCCTGTGGAATGTGAGTCAGGCCCATGGGAACAAGAACACCCGTCCCCACAGAGGCACTCACAGTGGCCTAGGCCAACAAGAAGAGACCTCCTAAGTCACCACGGGCCACCCGGGTGCAAGGTGCATATGGTCCAATGCTCAAGAGGGAGGATCACAGGGGTGAGGCCAGCCTGGACCACAGCACAACCGGAGGGAGGGAGGGAGGGAGGGAGGGAGGGAGGGAGGGAGGGAGGGAGGGAGGGAGGAACAACAAAACTCTGTTGTCCTGTCACACAGAAGAACTCTGTGACTCTACAGTCCGTCTGGATGGAAGGATGGTCACAGTTGGTCAGAGTGGGCTGGAGCCACGTGCTTATGTGCACCTGGGTACCTACACAATGGCAGCAGCGCACACACCAAGGAGGGACGGGGACTCGAGTCAGAAACCCTTGCCTGCTGTGTTTGATTGAGCTCATGTTTCCTTTGCTGCTGTGCCCTAGACTTTTACAACATGTGTGGGAAGAAAAGCCTTTGGAGACATGGGGGACCGCTGGGAGAGCTGGGAGAGGATGTGTGAGCGGCACCAGAGTCGTGTTCTGCGGGAGTTTAGGATCTGCTCCCTTCCACCTCGGCTCCAGCAAGCCCCGTGGCAATCTTAGGATGTGGACACTGGAAGAGGCAGAAGCAGCTTGGGGCCACTGGATGGCAGGAAGGGCAACTATTAGTTCAGCTTGGGGGGCCTCTCAGGTCAAACCCAAGTCAGCGTCTCCATGACAGCTGTTTCCAGAAGCCTGCTGCCCTCACTTCCCTGGGAAACCTGGACAAGATGTAGAGTCAGACCTGGCAGGACAGGGCAGGGACAAGGATGGACTCCAGAAGAAAGTGCCAGACAGCTCTATGGGACAAAGAGTTGAGGACACCATTAAGAGATAAAGCAGGCAGCCACAGTGAAACTGGCCCGGCCAGAAGGGGGGAAGTAGTGAGGACAGGCAGAGGGGAACAGACCAGGCTGAGGCACGGTCAGAGAGGAGCTTTCATTTTCTCTTTTTCTTTTTTGTTGGGGGGGGGAGGGGGGTTGGTTGAGACAGGGTTTCTCTGTGTTGTTTTGGGGCCTGTCCTAGATCTCGCTCTATAGACCAGGCTGGCCTGGAACTCACAGAGATCTGCCTGCCTCTGCCTCCAGAGTGCTGGGATTCAAGGCGTACGCCACCACCGCCCGGCGGGTTTCATTTTCAGAAGTTCTCTTCATTATCTCTCAGCAGGCCTAGCCTGTGGGTTCTGTGATGCTGAGGATGGAGCCCAGGGCCTCTGGCATACACTCCGTCAGTGATCCACCACTGAGGCCCCCAACTAGTGTTTTGATAGAAAATCACAAGCGGACAAAGAAAGTGAAAGGCAGCTGAAGAGAGAAAGATTTCCCTCCTCTATGAGATGCCAGAACAGCTGCCTGGGAAGATCTCTGCAAGGAGGCAGGGCCGATCTGGCGCAGCACCGGCACCTGCGCTATTTCCACGTCGTGTACCTGAAACTTCAAAGACGGGTACAGAAGTCAAGGGCTTAAGACGAGTTTTTGGCACTCAGCTCAAAGCACAGTGTGTAGCTTTGGCACCTGGCTCATAGCAAAAGTCTTTAGTTGGTGGGGACTTGAACAGAAAGAAAACAAGGTGTGTAGAACTTGGACAGTGCAATGCTCGTTCAAGTTTTATTTTGTTTTTTGTTGTTTTGTTTTGTTTTGTTTTTAATGAGCCCCGATCAAGTAATTAAAGCTATTTGCCTTCTGGGAGCTGGCATTCCCTGACCTTGAGCTGGCCACAAAAGGCAACTCAGTGGTGTTGGGAAGACACTAGCCCTTGATGTTCAGATAGGTCATAGGGATGATGTTCAAAAGTTCAAGCATTGAGAGGGATCTGTCACTTCAAGAGCAGCCAGAATGAGGAGCTGGGGGACACTGGCTAGGGCAATGAGGGGCTGCGGAGGGGAGGACCTGCAGCTTTACTTAAACTTGGCAGCAACTATGACCATCACCTTATGAGCCAAACCTCATTGACACTTACTCATAATTACAGATGGCAGGGTATCTATAAAAGGCGGGGCCCTCTGTTCCCCTTGGTTCATCTTAGCTACTACAATTGGGGTGCCACCAAGAACAACCTTGCCAGAGTAAACTCCAGAGTTCCAGGTCACGGCACTTCAATCAACACAACCCTATATGTTTGCTGGACCACCCATCAGGAGCTCTTGCACATGCTGTGGAAATCATGACAGGCTGTGAGCCCTGGAGGCCCCCAGAGAGGCCAAGCCCAGGTCCTGCATCCAGATAGTTGGGCGCTGACTGCCAGCAGCTACCAACCTTCAGGGTCGGCAAATGCATAATAATGCCTACCTCAGCTTTTCCTCCATTGCTCTGCAGCCCATCCCCATGCATGTCCAGGGGCCCAAACTGTCCAGACCTGTTCATTCCTCCAGTGAGGGCAGCTAGCTGTCCATCCAGTAAGAGCTAGAATTTAGGATTGTTGATCCTCTGTCCCCAGCTGGACCCGAATGGCAGCTAGCCTCTGCCAAGACCCACTTCCTTCTTGGCATCAGGCTAATGGGAGCATGAGTCTGAATATATCTAAGAGCCCTGCCCTAAAACACCTCCTCCAGCCGGGCAGTGGTGGTGCACACCTTTAATCCCAGCACTCGGGAGGAATAGCCTGGAGGATCTCTGTGAGTTCGAGGCCAGCCTGGGCTACAGTAAGTTCCAGGAAAGGCACAAAGCTACACAGAGAAATCTTGGGGGGGGACACGGGACACCTCCTCCAAGGTTTGTGTCCTGCAGTGTCCACTAACTCCTGGGGACCTGCACTGTCACTCAGTGCTGAGGACAAGGCAGAGCAGGCAGCAAAAAGCAAAACTGGGACATAGGCTGCAAGACGCCATTCCCCCAGGGATCACAACCCAACCAGGAGCAGAGAAAAGAGTCAGAGGCAACTGAGAGGCAAACTGCAGAAGTTCAAACAGAGCCAGAGGTGGAGAGACACCATCCCAGTGTGTAACTCCAAAAGCTTTATGAGAGACTAGAGATGGCCCAGCAGCACTAGCTGCTCCTCCAGGGGACCTGGGTTTGGTTCCCAGCTCCCACCTGGCAGCTCACAGCATTCTATCACTCTAGTTCCGGAGATCCTGTTCTGGCCTCCATAGGTACTACATACATGTGGAACACAGATATGTATACAGGGAAAACACCCACACACTCAAAAACCTTTGTGAAAGACAACGCTTCATTCCTCTGTGCTGGGTCTGGGACAGCTCTCCTGAAGAAGTCACGAGCCCACACAGAAATGAAGGGAACACTGGACACTTCAGCACCAAGAAGGGCCAGGGATGAAACTGGGTAGCATGTCTAGACACTGTGTACTAGGAAGCGGAAGGAAGTGAGGAGAGATGGGAGGCAGGAACATGGCAGAGGACCAGAGGGCCAGGCAGAACAATCTCAGGCTGAAGGAAGGAAGCACAGCCCAGCCAACTTGGAATGGGACATGAAACCAGAAATCCCTAAGCTGAAACCATTTACCAGCCTCATCCCTGGGGACAACTTTCTTTTTTGAGAGTCAGATTCTTAGTTCTTCAACATGAAAATGTCATGCTTCCATAAGGAAACAGAGAGCCACTGAAGGTTCTGGAACAGAAAGGCGTGAATGCTGAGATTAGCATACAGGGTGCATACAGGGGCAGAGGCAGAGGCTGGAACAGAGGCAGGAGACCAGAGCATCAGCCTGGAATCCTGTCCCCATGCCCTACCCATCTGAGCTACCCTCAACAGGCACGTATCTCTCCAAGTATCTGGAGATACAACTAGATGCCCACTTGGCACAACACTCAGCGGGTCACAGACGATGAAAATGCCTTCCTTCCCAAGAAAGGCAGACACACACTAGGAGGGGACAACAGGACTTGCAAGGTCTAGCCATGGCAGAGGGAGAGAAAATTGCATCAAGGGGCACCAAGGACCCTTCAGCTCCAGAGTAATGCAGGACCTCCAAAGACATGGAGTAGAAGAAACTTTTCGTCTCTAGAGGAAAATGGCCTGTTTGGAAAGCATGAGTCTGAAGAGCAAAGACAGGGGAGCAGAGTGGGAGCCCCCAAACCATGAAGTCAGAGCACCAAAGCAACACAAGCTGGCGGGTGCTGGGGCTGGATGAGGGTCAGGCACATCCTGAGTCCGAGGCAGGAACCACAGGACCATCATCAAGAAGGGACAGGAGCAAGGCAGGGGGTGCTCCTGTGGCAGATCGGAAAACTGAAGGAATGGGGAGCTGGCAGTGGGAGGAGTCCAAGAGGGAGAGGGAGAGATCTTGCCTCAAATTAAAGAGAAAGCAAGGCATGTTGGTGAATGCCTGTGAACCCAGTACTTAGTTCAAGATCAGCACAGGCTTGTCTCAAATCCTGAAAAAAAGGGGGAGAGGTGCTGAGCATGTACCTCGGTTGGTAGTGAGCTTATCCAGCACACACACTGCCCTTGGTCCAATCCCCAGCACTGCATAAACTGGCTACTCAGAAGTTGGAGGCAAGGCATTCAAGGTCTCCCCAGCCTCATGATGAGTTTGAGACCAGCCTGGGCTACACGAGACTTTGTCTCAAATAACAAAAAACCCCAGTGGCATCTTTCCAGTGTGTCATCTCAGTCCACAGGGGGACACCACAATTAAGAAGTAAGGCTCAAGAAGCAAGGGGCTGAAAAGAAACGGAAGCTGCAGCAGGGCCACTCATGACCTAAGAGGAAGCGGTAAGGTCATCCAAGGCAAGGGGTAACAGAAGGGAAAAAGCATATGAGCATGTGTAGTCCAGAGCCACAGCCAACAAAACCCTACAGAGAAAAGCATGAGAGGGCACCAGAGGAGAGCTGTGGGGTAGGAACAGGGGCACCAGAGGAGAGCCGTGGGGTAGGAACAGGGGCATCAGAGGAGAGCTGTGGGGTAGGAACAGGGGCATCAGAGGAGAGCTGTGGGGTAGGAACAGGGGCATCAGAGGAG